TATTGGGGGGGGGGGGGGGTATCGCATGCGGTAGTGGTTAGACCATTGACCTAGCATCCCTATAATGGTTTCAAAAGGATGAGCCAGAAGCTACCCATCATCCTTGCATTTGCTGTGTTAAACCAGATGCATTGTCATGTGTGACCCAGGGGGGGGGCGAAACGGGGGCCAGATGGTCGGCATGCTATCAGTTGGATAAAGCAAACACAAACAAAAACTACGGCAAACACAAATACTTTTGCGTCTTGCGCTTGCCATGGTTGGATACACCAAACAAAACCACTGGGAAATAATCTGCTGCACAAAAGCCTTTCCTGGTGCATCTCCCACATGAAAAAAACAAATCACCCGCACCAAGCAACACATGCCAAATCTCCCATGATTTCCAGGACGTGGTCACCACGTTTTGAGATGAAAAATAATTGCATCGCATCGTGTTTTTTGCTGTTGTTCTTGTGATACTGAAACAAAACGAACCCACGTATATCGACTGATAAAGAGCCCAAGGAAGATATAGCTAAATATCCATAGCGTTAGCAACAACCTGTGTTTCCGCGATTCCCCAACCAGCATACACCTATGTCTCCCCTGGGGGCAACAGGCTCTGCAAGAAGAGAGCTTGGCGGCCATCTTGTGTGCAATTTCAAGGTGCAGTTCGAAGATTTAAAGAGGAAAACGCGAGGTCAACCAAAAACAAAAAAGGTTCCGTGTCCATCTTGTGCAATTTCAACGTGCAGTTCGAAGATTTGAAGAGGAAAAACGCGAGGTCAACCAAAAACAAATGGTTTGGTGTCCATCTTGTGCAATTACAACGTGTTTCTCCCAAGATTTCAAGGGCCGCAATAAAAACTCAACTCACCTCCTCGCCAGGGAGCACGACGTAGCGGACCTCCACGCCATGGTTGTCGAAGTTGGCGGACATCTTAGCGCCGTAAACCTCAGACACTGCCTCGTCTGTAGAGGCACGAATAGCAGCAACAACAGCAACAACAAGAATTAAAAGCTTCGCCGCAGCAGCAGCAACCAAAAAAGAATGTGAGTGCCCGCTTGGCGAGTCTCGAGTTTCTAGTGCCAACATGTTGAATGCCACTGGGCTTTTTAGAAGAAAAGCGTATGCTCTCAAAGCAATCTGTTCCCTCTATCAAAAGAAACATGACGCTCCCTGGTCATTTTCAAGCCTACAAGCCTGATACGACATCCTGGATGCCCTCTTGCCTTACGGAAGGCATAGCACCCGCAAATCGAACACTAACAGTAACAACTGCCTTATCATGCCCTGTTGGAACAATCAATGTTCAGTAGTCAGTACTGGTACTGCTGTAAGCTACCATGCATAGTGGTATGAGCTATGCATTTAGCTAAAGATATCCACAAGGATATTCTAGGATATTGTGATACATCGGACTATCCGATTATCGGTGGATTAGCAATAGCCCGAGCATGACGTTTTCCGTGACAGGCCAGAGGGCCCGCCCCTGTGGTGTTCGCCCCCACCTGCTCACTCCTCATCTGTCTCTACCTTTCGGCCACCTAAGCGCCAATCCAAATCATCTTCTGTCT